GTTTTGGATTTAGGATGACAATAGCACTGATAACACACTGATGTTTTAATTGTTGCCAAGTCATGCTTACCCCAAGCCAAGGACTTTCCAGTGTCCTGTGCTGTGCCAGTGAGGAGAGGCACCAGAAGCTGGGAGGGAGCGTGGCCAGGGCAGCTGATCCAAACTGGCCAAAGGGATATTTCATASCATGGAATGTCAATCCCAGTTTWTAAAYTGGGGGGAGCTKGTGGGAGCTGCTGATCTCTGTTTGGAGCTGGACTGGGCATTGGTCAGATGGGGATGTGGGAGGTGATGACCACTTTGATAGAGTAGAAGGTGGCTTCATTCAGATTTATGTTTCAGTTTGCACACTCAAATRAACAACTTTGTGACCCTTTCTGAAYTGATGAACCAGAACTTGTTTGTCACCTGTGCAGGCAGCAGTCATGTGCAAACTCTGAAACCTTCTAGAAATCTTTAAACTGAYAYAGAGAAACTACAGACCTTAGGAAATACACTTTTGGCTGCTTGAAGTCCAGGAAACACAACTTGGTCAAAAGTGGGAAAAGTGGTTTTAGAATATTTTTCTGCAATTATGATTTGACTTCTGACAGGCTTTTCCATAGTAAAGACATTATTAAACAGTGTGTYTGCTAACAGATTTGAGTGATAGTATAGAAACCGTTAGCCATGTGAGAAGGATAAGCTGTTGCAGTAGACAAGAGAAGTATGTTGCATTTACTAGAGCAGGTTTTAGTGCACTTTTCTCTGTAACAGGATCTTTGGCTATGTAATCTGACATTTTTGGACTGCATTCAAAAAAGAAATTGTTGTACTAAATGTAAACTTCTTTTACCTTTTGTGCCGTTGCTATAAAGATTGAGATTTTACTGTTAAACTTATTTAATGATAGGCACTGTGCAATTGAGCTCTTGGATTTCTTGCTCTTTGTTTGCCCTGGTGCTCTAAGTCTTGGGTTTGGTACTAAACCTTTTTGATCCCTACCAAAATATGCTCTGAAATTGTTGTTTAGATGATGATCTGTTGCTGGAAGTTTCTTGCCTGGTTCTCTGTACAAAGGGGTATCATGAAGTCTGATTTTTACCTTTTTCTTTTACATTATTTTCTGTCACTTTTATCACAAAAGAAACCGTAACACTTCACAAAATAAAGTGAATATGGATAAACCAGTAAAGCTGGTTCCTCTGGATATCTTCACTTGTCTTTCATATTTGTTTTATTCTCTGGTACCGTTACTCAGCTCRGATTGTGTTTATACATCTGTTGGATAATTTCCATTTCATTAGGTACCTGCACTGGCTTTTGGTAGCTTCAACACTCAGTGAATTTGCAAAGGGAGGAGGATTAAAATTGGAACACTTGCATGGTATTTCCATAGAAATAAATGTCCAGATCTTTTAGACTGTAAGTATCCAGAAGCCATGATTTTTGATTAATGTGAAAGACTGAGTGATTTTGTGCATTGCTGCATGTGTGCAGCAGAATAGTGACAGCTGATGATTGTAACARGTTTGCTTGTTACAGACGAGGGGGTTTATTTAAAGATACTTTAAAATGCTCTGAAGACTTCACAGAATTTTTTAGTCAAATCTGAGATGCTTTAAAAGAAGCTGAGTAAATTGGATGATGTAAAAGAATATCTGAAACATCAGCTGAGTGAAAATTCTTTTGGCCTATGATTTAGAAACTACAAAGGCAAAAGTTATTCTTGAAGCATGTAATTCGGGATATAGCRTAGCCCATTAAAAGTGGGAGTATGAGAGTTTTCTTCTGGGTTCTCATTTTTCTTGTCTGGTCTTAGGCAAGTGATATTACTTACCCAATATGTTCTTCATTTTAAAATATGATTCTGTGGGCAAGACTTAGCAATAGTTGAMAACAGGTCCTAAAAGAATGTTCTTGCTTGTGTTGTTGTGGTCTAGAATTACTCTTGATTTTCTGTTACAATCAGCCAAAGAGGAGAGAATCCTAAGATATGAAGGAAGTTGTCCCAGTGGAAATGTTACAATATGCTTTCTGTTCAGAAGAGTGGTATTCTTTCCTTTCATTGTCTGAAGAACTGAAGGTCRATAGACTCCTTCAGATTTCCAGATGAAAACTGATGTTGGTGTTGCCCCTCCGCTGCAGATTTCTGGCTTTGAACAAGCACAGTTTACTGTTCTTTCCAATGARATGTTACAGGAGGAAGTCAAGAGAGGATGGATGTTCCAGAATAGGCCTAAATTGCCTCCTTAGCAAGAAAAGGACTAAGAAGCTGAGCTTTAGKTTTTTTCCCTTGAATGCTAATTTTGCAGTTTAATGGCAGGAAGGAGATAGTAAAATCAATTCCATTTTTTGGCAGTAATCTGGACTGTGTATATGATACGAATTCCTTTTATCACCAAAAGAAGCTCAGTAATGATTTGTTTGTAGGCACATGGCCAAAATGCAAAGATTTTGGACTAGTTCAGAAATAGCTGTGCTCTTCAAGCTTTACAGTCTGTTCAAATTTAAGCCTTCCCATCGTTCTAGAAATGGGAGTATGTGCAGAGGGGGAAATGAACATTTTTTGGCWTTGAGTCACTGGGCAGACTGCAATGAATACAGGCTTTGATTCTGTAAGGGGCTTTTTTTTCCTTCAGTCCACCCCGTTGTGTAACTTGAGGATTACTAACTTGTTCACCCATTTGAGCTGGTTATTGAGTGCTGCTGGGGGAGGGAATTCTAGAGTAGCTAAAAGGCATAGCAGCKCTTCTTCTGTCAGATGCACTGGAACTTCAATGCCAACCTTGCTTTTCCGTAAGGTATGCTCTTGGGAACTGAAGCTTTCTTTGGTTTCTGAATTGTGCAGAATGTCATGACCATCTTATCYGGGCCTCCATGGCAGGGCACTTAGACTGGTTAATCTTTAAAGCTGCCTTCTAACCCAAATCATTCTATGTTTCTATGACCTTGAGTTAATTATTTATGATATTGAAAACTGAGAATCCTAGAGAGGTCCATTAGTAGAAAAAAATTGACAATGTGGGAAATAATGTCAGTGAATGTTGTTGAGTCACAATGAAGCCAATTTGTTTTTTATTCCTATGCCTAATAGGAATTGTGYCTGGTTTAGAGGGATATTAAACCTGTTTGCATCTTGCTTGCACATTGCCAGGTGCCTTTTTCGATAGAATTAATGGCATAACCTGGGCAGAACGAGTGTATTTAATATGGTTTTACTGTGCTGGAGAGTCTGCATAGAGCTGGTCAGTATATCAATCATTGCTGTAAAATATGAAATATTGTTCAAATGGGTTCACTGGAGTGATAAATGAAAGTGAGTAGACAATACAAGGGGCATGGGTTATCAATGAAGATTTTAGGCAATCAGGTTTTCCTAGTGTGGACAAATAAGGGGTCATAAGTAAAACTTGAAGGATGTATACCATGTATTACATACTGGAAATTGCATTCTGGATAAGCAAAATTGGGTTAGAGCTGTTTGGTAGAACCTCTGTGAAAGATGAAGCTTCAGTGACTACTGCAAGACTTAGGTACAAAAGCAAGTATTAGCATGTAATTTCTCTTATCAAAAATAAAAAAAAATAAAATTGAAGACTGTAGATAGCTCACTGTTGGCTGGAAGAAGTCTCCTTTTATTTATTCAAAAATGAAAATTTTAAGCAGCCTATTGAGTTAACCTGACAGAAATAGTTAATAAGGCTTTACGCTGAAGAGAGCGCTGTAATGTGGGACAAATATAAAGCCAGATCCCATCCCTGACTGAAAGTTCAGGGCATTAAACTGAACATTACTGATAATAATCWGTAGATCGAGTATGTGAGGTTTATATACTTGATTCTCAGTCACTTTGGATATCATTACTGATGCATCRTCTTTATTTTGAAGTTGTTAACCTTGATATGGGAATAGGAGGGGGAAGAAGYGTTCTGGGAAATCTGGAGGAGGCCAGTCTGTCTCTCTGTGCTGAGAGTGGAGCTTTCTTGGCTTGATCATGGGRTGTGTGGCAGCTCTCTGCATTAAGTCTGAAGGGTGCAAAAGGCTCATTCTCTCTTTCCTCTCTTCCTCCAATTTGTTTACTTTGGAAGCTGAAGTGTTGAGTGGAGTCTCTGATGGGCCATGAGCACTGCAATAAGCAAACAGGAATGTAGAATTTCCATGACCCCCCTGTTTTTCTCCTGCATGGGAAGATAGAGCATATCATAATACGCAGATGGTTGATAAGTCATGATAGAACAGAAAACTACCAACCTTTGTTCCTATAAAGTTATTAATGATGTGTACCAGCCTCATATCCCAGCTCAGTGGGTTGTTTTAGTTTTCCTTTTCATAATTGTCTTGGTACACCCTGAGGATATGGATGTTTCTCTTCATTTGAACTTTGTTTAAAACTCTGATCTCTGTTACTGCTTCTCTTTGATAACTTGCCTTTGTCTAACTGGCAGAAGTTTCACGGTAGTTTCCGAAATACCTTGAAAAATCAAACAAATGAGTAAATTCCAATACTGGATTACAAGCTGAACCTATATGTCAGTTAAACAGAATGGATTTTCAGATTCAGACTGAAAATTGAGGTGAAACATTTCTAGCATGGTAAATGGATTCCTCTCCTTGACTTACCTTTTATTACCCTAAAATGCCAGATACATTATAGAGGCATTAACACYGGCACAGTGACATTGAAACATAAAATAGGGAGTAATCCTTCCCTAGAGGAGGTAGGCTGCAAGCCTCAGACTCCATATCTGGGATTTAATGAAGCGTGGCTTAGAGGAGCACTGCTTGCTTCCAAACCTGCTGAAAACATATGCAGAATGGATTAGACATGTGAGTTGTTCTCAGATACCTAAGAATGTAATAATTTTTTTGCTTGTTCTTCTGAATTCTTTCCTTAGTGCAATACAAGGAAAGACTTGTTTATTTGCTAAGACCTCACATCATAGTTTTGTATGGAAAACTACATCACCTTTCTGTGTTCATCTTTCTACAAAACCTTTTCTCTGTTTTTTTCCCTGCAGTGTTCTGAGGATAACAAACACAATGATGAGTCACCTCAAGAAGATGAAGGTTTTATGGCCATGTCACCTCTTCTGCAAGCCCACCATGCCATGGAGAGAATGGAAGAATTTGTGTGTAAGGTAAGGGCACRTGGAAACCGCTGAAGTAATTTCCTTTTTTTAGGAAGCTCCAGTGAGCAGCAGACTCTACTTGGAGCAGTGCTAATGTGAGACAGAGGAGGTACTCACTGTCCTCAAATGTTCTGGCTAGCAATACTACACTTCCTCAGCCTGTGCCTGTCATAGAGCATTAAATTGTAGAGCACGGAACAATAGGGATTTACAGCTGAGACTCCAAAGCTGATCATGCAACTCAGGTGTATCCCGTGAGAAACACCTGTGAGTGCAAAGCAGARTAAAAGCCTTCTGGTTCAAGGCACTTTGATTTACAAGGTCATTTGTCCAGATTTCTTCAGATTGGCAAATATTTTGCTTTTCCAGCACCATTTGCATCCATTGTAGAATAAGCTTTGTCTCTGACTTGAAAACAATGCTGTACTGAAAGCATACATAAGTAAATCCATTGTAGATTTTGTAATTGTTGACCTTGGCTCAATTTTTGCTACTTTTTAGAGCCACTGGGCTRTGTCAGTCTCTGGCCCTCTTTTCTTGCTGAAAGGAATGCTGCCCCTTTATACACTGGTTCSTGCTGGTTTTATGAACTATTTTTGATGTTTTTACAGAGGGACCCTAGTTACTTGGTGGTCTTCTGTGTATGGGTCATTTTGTTGTTTGCTTTTGTCAGTTATTTTTTTTTTTACTATGCCTCTTTTAAAATGTTTTGTAGGGTGGATTGTGTAAAATGAATTCCCTCCTTCTGTTTCTACCTCAATTCACATTTTTTGTTCATGAACTAAACCAGTTATTTTCTTGTTTAATGTATTTAAAAACCCAGTCTTTAAGTGGGCCGGTTATTTTGAATGGCTTTGTTTTGATTCCATGCACGAGCGTGGAGAATTGATTCAAAAACTCTGGGCTCTTGTTGTTGAAACTGAAATAAGAATGTAGCTTTTTAAACTTAGTGTTTCAGGAAACTTCAGCCTTGCTCCTGTAACTCTAGCCAGCCGGCAGATCCAAGGAACCCTGCAGAAACACCCCCGGTACATAAAGCAGTCCCCTGCTACCCCTGTCCTTGGCAGAGCTGCCACACTGAAGCCTCCATGTGTCTTGTGTTACTGAAGCAGTGCTGGGAACATCTGTGCACACTTATTTCCTGTGGAGCCAGCTGCAAGGATAGCTCTGTGCACAAAGCCCCTCTCTCCCTTTAAAGAAGAAATCCTGTGGAATTGAGAGTCACRAGTCTGTTGCCTTAACTGCTCTGTCACTATTAGTTTTGTGAGCTTGGGAGTATTTTCTGCCCAACCTGAATAGGGGCTTGGGCTCTTCCTGGTGGGCTCTCACCCTTTCATGTTTTCTGGCCACTGTTAGTACTGATGGGTAGCTTATTTTGCTAGACTGCCCCAAATGCTAGCAGATAMAGTCAGGTTGGCATGTGGTGGAAGAACAGGCTTATTTATTTCTTRGAGGGAATTAGGTGTAGGCTTCTTCAATTAAATGGAAAAGATGACCTGTGAAATAACATAACATAAGTGAATTAAATGTTTTCCCTTCATTAGCAGTAAAAAAGCCCGATAGCCTTGCTGTCCAATGAAATACWGAAGTATTTCCTTCTCTGATGGTGCAGTTCTACTTCATAATAGTACAGTTTTGAATAGGGAACAGTGACTTTASCATGATATTTCAAGTGTAAAGCCTTTTTCCCAGAGATGTCCCATCAGCTCTTTTCTGATTACACATACATTAACTCCAGCACTTTCACTAATATGGGTGTTCTGACTATTTCCATCCACTGTTGGAACTCATTTCCTTGCATTTTACTAAAATCTTTTAACTTGTAGGTATGGGAGGGCCGATGGAGAGTCATTCCCCATGATGTTCTGCCTGACTGGCTAAAGGACAATGATTACCTGTTGCATGGACACAGACCACCCATGCCTTCCTTCCGGGCTTGTTTCAAGAGCATCTTCAGAATACACACAGAGACTGGCAACATCTGGACACATCTCCTAGGTACTCTCAGCTTGCTTTCATCCAATGCTAAATCTAATCTMCTGCTTTCATTGCTCTCAAAGAGGAGAGAGCAAGATAGAAAGGGCTGTGGGGTTGTCAGCATTACCATTCCACTCAGAGCTTTTAAAATTTGCAGCTTGGTATCCCTCTGCTAATTTTATYCCATTAGGGTTGGATGGGATTAATTATTAATTATGGCATACAATACAAACAAATGCATTAAACATTTCCTAATTGTTAATAAATTACTGGTAGATCCTTCTTTTCCCAAGTGTGTCAGTTAATTTGGATTGCATTTCTTGCCACCGGAACACGCTTAGGTTGCAGCTTGTCTGAGTGGTTTSAACTGTGAGCAGCCTTGAAGARAAGCARTGATGCTTTTAGAAAGAAAAGTTTTCAGTATGCATGACCTTGACACCTCCCCRACTTGCTGTTTTTCAGGATGTGTGTTCTTCCTTTGTCTGGGAATCTTCTACATGTTCCGGCCAAACATGTCCTTTGTAGCACCTGTSCAAGAGAAAGTGGTGGTTGGGTTGTTCTTCTTGGGAGCCATACTCTGCCTCTCCTTCTCATGGCTCTTCCACACAGTTTATTGCCACTCAGAAGGTGTTTCCCGGCTCTTCTCCAAGTAAGTGCCTAGAGAACAGGGTAGGCCAAATAGGAAACAGGTGGGAAAACAGGGCTGGGATTTGTGCCTGGAGCCCCAGTGTGGGAGTTGTTCATTTCATGACTGCATGTACTTTGGAACAGAGTTGAGCAGAGATTTAATGCAGCTTCTTCTAATTATAGTTTGTTTCAGCATGAGTTTTTGTGCTGTCATTTGAGTCTTAAAACTCCATCATTTTCTGCTGTTTGGCAGGCATGTGCTTGCATCTTGCTGCTGTAAGTAACGTGCCTTGTGCTTTAGTTGCAAGGCTTGAATTGTTAGTGCAACCGTTACTTCTTGTTCATTTCAGCTATTCTTACTAACTTTGAACCTTAAACTTACATAAGACAGTTCCACAATGTGTATCAAGATGTTTTGATCTTCTGGTTTTAGTGCACGTTCTTTTTTGGCTGGCTGCTGAATATCTCATATTTCCTAAGACTACTAAACCTAGGATTCTGTAATCTGCAAGWCCACCTCTAAAGTAACCCAGCAATTAGAATCCTCTACTAAAAAATAAACTCCATCAACTTTTGCAGGAGTATTTTGTCAGGGTGGGGTAAAAAGCAGTGGCTGTGTATTTCCCTTTTCATGCGGGTGTATGAGAAACCAGTGTGGTTGAAAAATTGCAACATTATTYCACTGTGGTCACTGAAGCTGGTGCCCAGCTCACTCACACTTGTCAGATACTGAAGTGTTTGCCTTGGCTGAGTTCTCACAACATACTGTGTGCCCTGCTTTAGAGGGCTCCTGCACTGCTTTTTTCCTCATCTGAAACTCAAATTTGAGTTTTCCTCAGCAAGCTTTGGTCTGAAGGCTGCTGAAGCCATTGTTGATGACTTTCTTAAAAATGGCCTTACTGACTGTCTGTCAAGGTAATCCATTACTGTAGGTGGAAGAATTGCCAGGAATTAAGCTGCAATAGTGAGAGTAATTTAATTGCAGTAASAAGTAGACAGTTGGTCTACTAAAGAAGAGTGTGTGGGTGTGAGGACTTCCTAAGGTTTGCATTTCTTATGGCACTGATTTTTTTTTTTTTTCTTCTAGGCTGGATTATTCTGGCATTGCACTCCTCATAATGGGMAGCTTTGTACCATGGCTGTACTACTCCTTCTACTGCAACCCTCAGCCTTGCTTCATCTACTTGATTGTGATTTGTGTCCTGGGCATTGCAGCCATAATTGTCTCACAATGGGACATGTTTGCCACCCCTGAATACCGGGGTGTAAGGGCAGGTAAGTCCTGAAGTTAACTGTTTTGCTTCGTGACTGCCTTTCCYGCTTCCTACTTGCCCCTTGGAAAAAAACACCTTGGGAAGACTTAAAAGAGCTTAATTTAGTATAGAGACCTATTGTTCTTGGATTGGAAGCSTGATGGTTTTTCCAGCATTTATTGTAACCCACTGGATGCACAGATAAGGGCTGGTGCAAGTCCTGGAMGTGCATTCCTGAAATGGACAGTAACACATGCAGTAGGAAAGGTACTGCAAAGTATTTCTAGCTGCATCTAGCAACTTTGCWCTCTCAAAAAACAACTGACTGCTTGGTGTGTGTGTATGTGTACTTGCAGTGCTTGTTCTTTTTTTTGTAGACTCAGACRCTGGCAAATCATTGTATGATTGAAATAATCTCAATTATTTGCCTGGATAAAACACAGAGTTAAGATAAAGACTGTTTTTCTCTTCTTATCATCAAAAGAACAAAACCAGATTTGGTTTCACATTTTGAGGTASGAAGAAAGAGAGCTTTAGGGGGCAGCTATGGAATGTGCACACAGCTGGGCTGAGTACTAATATTTTTTGTTTCTTAACCTGCACATGCTGTGTATAATAAATCTAGATTTCCTGGACAAGTTATGGGTACCTTCAGAACATTCAGCTTTCCAAACTTAATACTCTGAATGGGACATGAATATTCCCCCCATGCCCACTGTTTTTACAAATTTTCTGTCCTTGCTGCAAAAATCTAAACAGTGTTCTCTTATAGATCAGATGAGCACAGATGCTGCTGTTCTGTTTCCTAGAACTACTCGTGCAGAATATGATAAACAATCTCTTCGTTGTGTCTCCTTGTCTTGCTCTTGAGTGATTGTGAAGGGAGGCACGGTCTGTGTGGTCTCAGTTCCCTCTACAGGCCAAGAGCAGGAACTGGCCTCACGTACTCTGGAGCTGGCAGGCACAATCAGTGAACGAAATATTCCAGCTATCTGCTGRAGCATATAACTGGGTAGTTTCTGGTATATGAGGGAAGCCTGTGCATTCTTTAGCTTCCTTTCCAATAAATCTCTTCTGGGGACCTCCAGCTTTGAGAGCTGTCACCTCTCTGTTGCTTTGGCAAACACTGAGTGTTCCTTCTATAGCATTTGTGTTTTCATTGTCTCCCTTTACCTCCACTGTGTTCAAACCTGACTCTCCYGCATTTTCTTTACCTCCCAGGAGTATTTCTAGGTCTGGGTCTTAGTGGGGTAATTCCCACTCTGCACTTTGTCATCTCTGAGGGGCTCCTGAAAGCAGCCACAATGGGGCAGATAGGCTGGCTGGCACTCATGGCATGCCTGTACATCACTGGTGCTGCACTGTATGCCGCCCGCATCCCGGAGAGATTCTTCCCTGGCAAGTGTGACATCTGGGTGAGTCTACTGAGTGACTGGATGAGGAGACCAATTTGAAAGCTGGTTCCCCTTGAGGCTGAAGGATCTTGTGTCAATATTTTCTGATTGCAAGTATCAAACTGCTGCACCAGAAGCAATAGGTCTTCAGGGGCCAAATGACTCTGGGCTGAGTCTGGCTTAGCTGCTGCCTCTCTTCCCAAATTGTCACAGCCTGGCTGGTGTGAGGTAACTGCTGGTGTGCAGATTCACCTCAGCACATTTCTGGATAGCTTTAACAGATGGACAAGGAACTCTGCAAACATTTTGTGTGTGTGTGTGTGTGTGTGTGTGTATTGAGGATCCTACAAAGACACGTTTATCTTACTTCTGTGCAGAACAGTACATGGTTATTTCACTGATGTTCAGTGTGTTATCTGGGATCTTCACCATGGCTGGCTTCTCATCTCATATAGGCAGTGAAAATGCYGGGCAGAGATGGTAGACTCTGGGGGGATCTCTGGTCCAGAAATAGGGAAGTGGGGTCAGCAAGTGGGTGGGTGGAAGAAATTTGGTATGAGGGAAAGAATAATGAAGACTGGAGGAGAAATACTTGAGCAAGTTGTAAGGAAAGGAGGTGGGTGCAGCAAGAACAGAGATGAGGGGACGTGGACCTTTGGAAGGCCACTGTATTTGCACTTAGGATAGTTTAAGGTCCCTAAAGAAGACAGAATTGAGAGTGAGGCCTGGGTTGTTTGAGCGGCTTTTGCACAGCACCAGTTTGCTTGGTTTGTTTAAATGGCCAAACAAAGCACTGTTATTATAAYGAGCTAAGCTCCACAAGCACTGGTGTGCCACCAACTCTTTTCCGAGCTTCCCCTGAAGCCTGCAAATGCACATTTGTAGGAATATTTAGGGAGATTGGTATGGCTTCTCTCAAACAAGGGCCTGCTTTGTCATGTAGCTCCCTCACGGTTTTCATTCTGCTCTAATCAATGACATCCTGGGCATTCATTCAGAACATCCAGTTGTTTCTAGCTTTTATTACAATATCACCTTTTTTCTGTTGTTTCTCTGTGRTAGAGAAATAACAGTATTCAGAATYCACTTGGTAAAACATGCCTGTGGTCAGAGCAGAGTTTGTACCTSTTACCTGTATGAGAGGACCCTTTTTATCCACAAACCATCAGTGGGTCTTGTGGAGGAACCAATTTTAAGTGTCCTGCTTGAAGCTTTTGCCTAAGGTTCTGAAATTATTCCTGTCCCTTTGCAAAGATGAGTTTTAGCACTTCTGTAACACATTTTTTGGTTGACCAGTGGGTTCAGATGACTCTAAAGGGAAGGGGGGGATGYRTGTGYRTGGAGAATTGGATTATTTTGCTSCTGGTAGAGGGATGGGCTTAAACCSAYGGCTTGGAGAACTCTGCAGCTCGTGGTTTGAGGCACTGCTCTGTGTTACTGTGTACTTCAGCTGAACGTGGGGCTTTTATGGGGCAGGGTGGCCCCAGAGCCCCGAGTGCCCCGACTGAACAGAGTTGTTTTCCTCTCCACAGTTCCACTCCCATCAGCTGTTCCACGTGTTTGTCGTGGCTGGCGCTTTCGTGCACTTCCATGGAGTCTCCAACCTGCAGGAATTCCGCTTCACAGTCGGAGGGGGCTGCACAGAGGAGGATGGGATGCAGTAGGAGCCTTCAGCCCAAGATCAGAACCAAAAGAGAGCCGCCGGCGCGGGCGAAGCATCCAGGCTTAGCAAAAGGAATACCTAAGAAGAATCCAAGTTTCAGYTGATGAGGCATTGGAGCTTCATGGGGATTCTGACGAACCAAGATAAATTCTATACCTCAAGCAATGGAATAAATCAATTTGAAGACCAGGAAATTCTGAAAACATAATTTATTCTTGGGATCTACAGATTGAGCTACAGAGGACCCTTTCCAAATCGGCTTCTGTTCAATGCCATATTTATTTGTAGAATTGGGGAGGGATAGCTTAGCAGTTTCCTTTTTTTTAAAAAAAGAAAAAAATAGTCAAGGTTAAATTTATATCCTCTTGGAGGGTTTGGGCGTTGATTTTAGATGCTCTTTTGGGAGAAAAATTGTAAATAAGATTTCTAACTTTCTGTTTAAATAAAATTTATATAAATGTTTTAAACAATGGGTGGGGGGAAAAGGGTTTTTGTAAAGAATGCAACATGCAAGTACCACACACTGTTTCAATTTTGCACAAAATAAACGATTGCAGGAGGACCAGGTAAAATTCCCAGGAGTGAAGCAYGTTGGCCCTGTCGATTTTCCTGGTGGCCAGCATGCCCTGGGCAATGTGGGGTCCTGGCCAGCACCTGGAGTAGGTTCAGGACGTGTACATGAGGGTTGTGAAGGCTGGATTAATCACGGCGTCATCCAGGTCACAGCGCAAGCAAATGGATTTGCTCCAGCAACTCGAAAGGGACATCTGCTCCCTGCCCAAGTGTGTGGGACAGCTGCCTTCCCAGCCTGTGTGGAGTGGGGAGTTTGGGATAATGGATCCTACAGTTGGTTGTTTTGGGTCTCATCCTATGAATTGGAGCTATATGATGGAATAACTGCACATGAAATGGCAAACAGTCCAACTCCATCAGTGCCTGCCTAYACCCAAAGGCCCCCAGTGAGAGGGTGGTTGCCATTTGCACGCCTGCGTTGTTTGGTCTGAGGGGATGATGGTAATAGACTTGTCAGAAGATCGTTGAGCATGTGAAGGGAAACAGAGGTGGGGTTTAAGATGGACTGGGAAGAGGAAGCTGTGTGCTCCAGRACTTGGAGTTCAGGCACTGCAGACCTCAGGCACATTACCATCCTGTGTGTCAGGCTCCATAAGCCAAGGCAGTTTGCAGGTTTTTCTTTTTAAGAGGAATAGATCCATAACCAGCCCAGAGCAGTTCCTTTTTTT